CTCGCCCCATCCCCCCATCCCACCTCCATCCCGCCATCCCACCTCCCTCCCGCCCTCCATCCCTCCATCCCACCCTCCCCCCATCCCTCCATCCCTCCGTCCTCCCCCGCGGCTGGGGGCGGGCCGGACTCACGGCGCGCAGGGCGCTGAGCAGCTGGGAGTAGGAGAAGATGATGAGGGAGAGGGGGACGATGAAGCAGAAGATGAAGAGGAACCAGGTGTAGTACTCGCTGCGGTACTTGGTGCCCACCGTGTACCAGTCCGGCCCGCAGGAGCACTGCAGCCCCTCGGGCACGTACCTGCGTCACACCCCCGCGGGGCGCCCCGGGTCACCCCATGGCACCCCATGGCACCCTGGGTCACCCCCATGGCACCCTGTGTCACCTCAGGGTACCCCCATGGACCCCATGTCACCCTCATGCCACCCCGTGCCACCCCTGTCTCACCCTGCCCCACCATGGCACCCTGTGTCACCCCATGGCACCCTGTGTCACCCCACAGCATCCCATGGCACCCCGGGTCACCCCCATGGCACCCTGTGTCACCCCACGTCACCCCCATGGCACCCCACGGCACAGCCACAGCACCCCGGGTCACCCCCATGGCACCTTGTGTCACCTCACGTCACCCCCACGGCACCTCGGGTCACCCCCATGGCACCCTGTGTCACCCCGTGTCACCCCATGACACCCCATGTCACCCTCATGGCACCCCGTGTCACCCCTGTGTTACCCTGTGTCACCCCTACGTCACCCTGCATCACCCCATGTCATGCCTTGTCACCCCATGGCACCCCTCTGTCACCCCCATGCCACTGCCAGGCTGCTCCACACCTCATGTCACCCCTGTGTCACCACTTGTCACCCTATGGCATCCCCATGTCACCCCATGCCACCCTGTGTCACCCCCATGTCACCCCTATGTCACCCTGTGTCACCCCGTGTCACCCCACGTCACCCAATGGCACTGCTGGGCTGCTCTGCACCCCCAGCCACCCCCCCATCACCCTGTGTCACCCTGTGTCACCCCGTGTCACCCCTGTGTCACCCCCACATCACCCCATGTCACCCCTATGTCACCCCTGTGTAACCCCCCATAACACCCCCGTGTCACCCCTTGTGTCACCCCATGTCATCCCTGTGTCACCCCCACATCACCCCTCTGTCACCCCTTGTGTCACCCTGTGTCACCCCGTGTCAGTCACCCCCATGTCACCCCATGTCACTCTCATGTCACCTCTGTGTCACCCCCGTGTCACCCTGTGTCACACCTTGTCAACCCCATGTCACCCCTGTGCCACCCCCATCACCCCGTGTCACCCCCGTGTCACCCCGATGTCACCCCATGTCACCCCGTACCTCCCCCATCACCCCATGTCACCCCATGCCACTCCGATGTCACCCCGTGTCACCCCGTGTCACCCTGTGTCACCCCTGTGTCACCTCGTGTCACCCCATCACCCCACGCCACCCCCATGTCACCCCTTGTCACCCGGGTCACCCCTTGTCACCCATGTCACCCCGTGTCACCCCATGTCACTCCTGTGTCACCCCCCATCACCCCATGTCACCCCCGTGTCACTCCTGTGTCACCCCGATGTCAACCCGTGTCACCCCTGTGCCACCCCCATCACCCCATGTCACCCCATGCCACTCCGATGTCGCCCTGTGTCACCCCGTGTCACCCTGTGTCACCCCTGTGTCACCTCGTCACCCCCATCACCCCACGCCTCCCCCCATGTCACCCCTTGTCACCCTGTGTCACCCCTTGTCACCCATGTCACCCCGTGTCACCCCATGTCACTCCTGTGTCACCCCCCATCACCCCATGTCACCCCATGTCACCCCGATGTCACCTCGTGTCACCCCATGTCACTCCTGTGTCACCCCCCATCACCCCATGTCACCCCATGCCACTCTGATGTCACCCTGTGTCACCCCGTGTCACCCTGTGTCACCCCTGTGTCACCTCATGTCACCCCATCACCCCACGCCACCCCCATGTCACCCCTTGTCACCCGGGTCACCCCTTGTCACCCATGTCACCCCGTGTCACCCCATGTCACTCCTGTGTCACCCCCCATCACCCCATGTCACCCCCGTGTCACTCCTGTGTCACCCCGATGTCAACCCGTGTCACCCCTGTGCCACCCCCATCACCCCATGTCACCCCATGCCACTCCGATGTCACCCCGTGTCACCCCGTGTCACCCTGTGTCACCCCATGTCACCCCCATCACCCCAAGCCACCCCCATGTCACCCCTTGTCTCCTCTTCTCCCCAACTCCTACAACCTCACCAGAGCATTGTGATCACCAGACCATGGTGGTCACCTCAACTACGGACCCACCAGAGCATGGTGGTCACCCCAAGTCCTACAGCTCCACCTGACCATGGTGGTCACCAGAGTGTGGTGGTCTCCCCAACTCCTACAACCTCACCAGAGCATTGTGATCACCAGACCATGGTGGTCACCTCAACTACGGACCCACCAGAGCATGGTGGTCACCCCAAGTCCTACAGCTCCACCTGACCATGGTGGTCACCAGAGTGTGGTGGTCTCCCCAACTCCTACAACCTCACCAGAGCATTGTGATCACCAGACCATGGTGGTCACCTCAACTACGGACCCACCAGAGCATGGTGGTCACCCCAAGTCCTACAGCTCCACCTGACCATGGTGGTCACCAGAGTGTGGTGGTCTCCCCAACTCCTACAACCTCACCAGAGCATTGTGATCACCAGACCATGGTGGTCACCTCAACTACGGACCCACCAGAGCATGGTGGTCACCCCAAGTCCTACAGCTCCACCTGACCATGGTGGTCACCAGAGTGTGGTGGTCTCCCCAACTCCTACAACCTCACCAGAGCATTGTGATCACCAGACCATGGTGGTCACCTCAACTACAGACCCACCAGAGCATGGTGGTCACCCCAACTCCTACAGCTCCACCTAACCGTGGTGGTCACCAGAGCATGGTGGGCACCTCAACTGCAGCCCCACCAGAGCGTGGTGGGCACCTCAACTCCTACAGCTCCACCTAACTGTGGTGGTCACCAGAGCATGGTGGTGACCCCAGCTCCTACAGCTCCACCTAACCGTGGTGGTCACCAGAGCATTGTGGGCACCTCAACTGCAGCCCCACCAGAGCGTGGTGGGCACCTCAACTCCTACAGCTCCACCTAACCGTGGTGGTCAACAGAGCGTGGTGGTCACCCCAGCTCCTACAGCTTCACCTAACCATGGTGGTCACCAGAGCATTGTGGGCACTTCAACTGCAGCCCCACCAGAGCGTGGTGGGCACCTCAACTCCTACAGCTTCACCTAACCATGGTGGTCACCAGAGGGTGGTGGGCACCCCAGCTCCTACAGCTCCACCTAACCATGGTGGTCAGCCCTACCTATGGCCCCAACACGCCATGGTGGTCACCTCAACTCCTACAGCTTCACCTGACCATGGTGGTCACCAGAGGGTGGTGGTCAGTCCTCAAGTGTCCCCAGGTGTCCCCGGGTGTCCTTGGGCACCGGGGGTGTCCCCGGGATGTCCCCAGTGTCCCTAGATGCCACCGGTCGTCAAGTGTCCCCCGCTGTCCTTGGGCACCCAGGGTGTCCCCATCACCCAGGTGTCCTGAGGATGTCCCCAGTGTCCCGAGGTGTCCTCAGGATGTCCCCAGTATCCCTGGAATGTCCCCAGTGTTCCTGGATGGCACCAGTCATCAAGTGTCATCAGGTGTCCCCAGATGTCTTTGGGCACCCGGAGTGTCCCCATCACCCGAGGTGGTCCCAGGATGGCCCCAGTGTCCCCAGGATGTCCCTGGATGGCACTGGTCCTCAGGTGTCCCTAGGTGTCCTTGGACACCCGGGGTGTCCCCAGGATGTCCCCAGCGTCCTTGGGATGTCCCCAGTGTCCCTGAAATGTCCCCAGTCCCCAGATGTCCTTGGGCACCCGGAGTGTCCCCATCGCCTGGATGTCCCTGGGATGTTCCTGGGATGTCCCTGGATGGCACCGGTCCTCAAATGTCCTCAGGTGTCCCCAGATATCTTTGGGCACCCAGTTTGTCCCCATCACCCGGGTGTCCCCGGAATGTCCCCAGCGTCCCTAGATGCCACCGGTCCTCAAGTCTCCCCAAGTGTCTTTGGGCACCTGAGATGTCCCCAGGATGTCCCCAGTATCCCTGGAATGTCCCCAGTGTTCCTGGATGGCACTGGTCCTCAAGTGTCCCCAGATGTCCCTGGGATGTCCCCACTGTCCCTGGATGGCACTGGTCCCCCAGTGTCCCCAGGTGTCCCCAGATGTCCTTGGGCACCTGGGTGTCCCCAGGATGTCCCCAGTGTTCCTGGATGCCACTGGTCCTCAAGTGTCCCCAAGTGTCTTTGGGTACCTCAGGTGTCCCCAGGATGTCCCCAGTGTCCCTGGGATGTCCCCAGTGTCCCTGGATGGCACCGGTCCTCTAGTGTCCCCAGGCATCCCCAGATGTCGATGGGCACCCAGGGTGTCCCCAGGATGTCTCCAGTGTCCTTGGGATGTCCCCAGGTGTCCACAGATGTTCTTGGGCACCCAGGATGTCCCCAGTGTCCTTGGGATATCCCCAGGTGTCCCCAGATGTCCTTGGGTACCCGGGGTGTCCCCATCACCTGGGTGTCTCCAGAATGTCCCCAGTGTCCTTGGGATGTCCCCAGTCTCCAGATATCCTTGGGCACCTGGGATGTCCCCAGTGTCCCTGGATGGCACTGGTCCTCAAACGTCCCCAGGTGTGCTTGGGCACCTCAGGGTGTCCCCATCGCCTCAGCCTCCCTGCGTGTCCCATTGCCTGGGTGTCCCTGGGTGTCCCCATCATCTGGGTGTCCCCATGTTCCAGGTTTCCCTGGGTGTCCCCACCATCTGTGTGTCCCGGGGTGTCCCCATCACCCAGCTGTCCCTGGGTCTCCTTGTCCCTGGGTGTCCTTGTCACCCAGCTGTCCCAGAGTGTCCCCATTTTCCAAGTGTCCCTGGGTGTCCCCATCATCCATGTGTCCCTGGGTCTCCCTGTCACCTGGGTGTCCCCATTTTCTGGGTGTCCCTGGGTGTCCCCATCACCCGAGTGTCCCGGGGTGTCCCCATTTTCTGGGTGTCCCTGTCACCCGGCTGTCCCTGGGTCTCCCTGTCTCCTGGGTGTCCCTATTTTCCGGGTGTCCCTGGGTGTCCCCATCATCCATGTGTCCCTGGGTCTCCCTGTCACCTGGGTGTCCCCATTTTCTGGGTGTCCCTGGGTGTCCCCATCATCCATGTGTCCCTGGGTCTCCTTGTCACCTGGGTGGTCACCAGAGCATGGTGGTCACCTCAATTACAGCCCAAACAGACCATGGTGGTCACTCCAACTCCTACAGCTCCACCTAACCATGACGGTCACTGGAGCATGGTGGTCACCCCGACTCCTACAACCTCTCCAGAGCATGGTGGTCACCATAGCATGGTGGTCACCATAGCATGGTGGTGACCTCAGCTGCAGCCCCACCAGACCATGGTGGTCACCCCAATGCCTACCACCCCACCAGACGGTAGTGGTCAACCCTACCTATGGCCCCACCACACCACGGTGGTCACCCCAACTCCTACAGCTCCACCAAACCACGGTGGTCACCTCTACCTGTGGCCCCACCACACCACGGTGGTCACCCCAACTCCTCCAGCTCCATTGGTCAACCCTACCTGTGGCCCCACCACACCACGGTGGTCACCCCAACTCCTCCAGCTCCACCAAACCATGGTGGTCAACCCTACCTCCAGCCCTACCAGACAACGGTGGTCATCCCAACTCTTGCTGCTCCACTAAACCATGGTGGGCACCCCAGCTACTACAGCCCCACCAGCAATGGTGGTCACCCCAACTCCTACAACCTCCTCAAACCATGATTGTCAACCCTACCTACTGCCCCACCAAACCACGATGGTCAACCCAATGCCTCCAGCTCCACCAAACCATGGTGGTCAACCCCACCTATGGCCCCACCACACCACGGTGGTCACCCCAACTCCTACAGCTCCACCTAACCGTGGTGGTCACTAGACCATGGTGGTGAGCTCTACTACAGACCCACCAGAGCATGGTGGTCACCCCAACGCCTACACCAAACCATGGTGGTCAACACTACCTCCATCCCCACCAGACCATGGTGGTCACCCCAACAGCTCCAGCTCCACCAAGCCATGGTGTTCAACCCTACCTATGGCCCCACCACACCACGGTGGTCACCCCAACTCCTACAGCTCCACCAAACCATGGTGGTCAACACTACCTCCATCCCCACCAGACCATGGTGGTCACCCCAACAGCTCCAGCTCCACCAAGCCATGGTGTTCAACCCTACCTATGGCCCCACCACACCACGGTGGTCACCCCAACCCCCGCGGTGGTCCCCACCTACCTCCGGTGGCCCCCACGAAGCCCTCCAAGGCGCACATGTGCTTGCCGAAGACGAAGTAACCCTGCGAGCTGGAGACGAAGACGGTGAAGACGCTGAAGATGCAGCAGATGAAGCCGCTGAAGGAGATGTTCACCAAGATGTAGTTGAGGGGTTGCCTCAGCTTCTTGTACTTGACGGTGACCACCAGGACGACGGCGTTGAGGGGGGTCCCCACCAGGAAGACGAAGCCCATGAAGGCCGTCTGGAGGTAGAAGGCCCACGGCGGGGCGATGTGGTACTGGGGGCCGTCCCAGGGTCCCACCGAGGACCTGTTCTTGAAGAGGTAGAACTCCTCCTCGCCCGACATGGCGACCGGCTTGGGGGGCTCCGGTGGTCTCCACGTGTC